GTGTGTGTTGCCATCTGCCCCACTTTGTAAAAGTAACTGACTCATCTTTACTGGAAATCCACTTTCAACTCAATTTTCTGGGAATCTTTCAGTTCGAACTATTCACCCTGTCTGGAAAAGAGATTATCAGATGTTTTGTTGCTGGTTGTATTTTCTTATTCTAGTGTAATGCTGTTTACTTTAACTCTACAATGTGTTGGTATCTGAGGCAGCCTAACTATTGATCCTCTCCATCAGGGTATTTTTCCAGGCTGCATGCGACGTTCCTGAACCAGAGGAGAAGTTTAATGTTGACGAATATTCAGACATGGTGACTCTGAGCAAACCAGTCATCTACATCTCGATAGAGGAAATCATCAACACTCATTCGGTAAACCCTGACAAATCCCCACTGATTCTTCAAAAAATCAAAAATTCCTGCAAAAAAAATCTAAGTAACTTTTAAATTGCACGTTAAGCTTCAGTGTTCAGATTTGAAAGGCTTAATGCAGAATCAAACCAGAGTTGGTCTGAGGATATTCTTTCATCTTTTACTACTCATTCTGACTTCTTCTCACTGCATCAATTCTCTGCTTCCTTTTATATTTCCTCAAGGTTTACTTCGAAAACTATTCATGGTGACAAATTTGGGATAAAGCTAGCTGTGTCTTTGTCATAAGATTTGCTCTACACAGGAACTAAATTGAGATAATTGTTAAAACTGATGTTTTCACATTAGGACAACTTAATAAACTATTAATTCACTACAATATTTAGGGAACAAATAAATTTGAGTGGAAACCTGTACTCCCTGAATATCCATTGCTTAACATTCATTGCTCAACTATTGAAATATTAAGTAGTTTACCTCCATGCTGTGATCTTGATTTTTGAATTCCAGCAATTCTGTTTATTTCCCTGGTTCTTTATGGTTTTTCTGTTGGTTAAGTAGCTCACTGCAGGCGTGTAGAAAAAACACATATCTGTTTTTACACAGCTGCTTCTGGAACACCTGGAGGCCATCTCTCCAGACCAAAATGACTTACTGCATGAGCTGCTGCAGGACCTGGGAGATGTGCCTGATGTAGAGACTTTGCTTGGTATTGTAACAAATTATGATTTTATTTCAACCCAGTTTGTCCACATTTTTCCTAGATTCACCAACATGCTGCTTTATTTCCAGGTGAAGGCGCCATAGACCCAGATGACTCAAACAGAGAAGCGGCTCTGAGTCAGCTGGCAAAGACTGAGATTTCTCTAACATTAACCAGCAAATTTGAGTTGCCAGAGGGAGACGACAAAGACTTGAAGACTCTCATGACAAAGTAAATTTCTGGTTGGAATTCTGCTAGAAAAACTGAGCATAATAATTTCTCAACTATTTCGTACTTAAAATTACTTCATTCTTAGGCTTCAGACTTGGGACGCTGTCGTGGTTATTGAACCATTGCCTTGAATCAAACATATTCAGCACTACTCTGTTAATATTCTGTGATCTGCTGACTGCATTAGTACAGTTAGTGCGTCTTTGTGGTTGCCACTCAGTCACATATCTTTGTTGTCTTTCCTGCTCCTCTATCATGTCCTGTCACAGAGGAAGGAGTAACAAGGTTAGGACTATCTACCCTGTAAACCTGCATCCGTTTGGACTGCTTTCTGAAAAATCCACTGCAGTGTTGCTCTTTTTCTTGTTTGCTCAGCAGTATTTTAATTTTTCTTTCACTAACTGAATGCACATGCCTTTTAAAAAACAAAAAATGGCTATCTTACCATGAAGCATGCAAAACAAAGTATTAATTTTAACAAAGTAGCAAACTGTCGACACCCTTGACTTTGTTTAACTAAAATACAATCGACAAAAAAGTAAAGTAATGAAGCTAAACATGATGCAGAGCAATGGACTAAGTGTAACTGTGATATCACTCCAATAACACTTCAAATATGAAGTAGTTTAATTAAGCAAGGCTGATCCGAGTACTTAATTAAATTACAACAACCAAGAAAAGACCAGACCAAAAAGATAAAACATACCCAAACACTTATGAGACATGAAACATGTTTTGAACAAAACACTAAAAAATAAATTTATAAAGATCAGGTCAGAGTCAAAGCCAAAAAAATAAAAGTGAGATTTAATACGGTTCTTGTCTGACATACAATGAGTCATCCTCAGTTTTAGTTTTAAATCACATTTGAAATCATTACCAAGACCATAACTTCAGTCTAGTTCTAATTCAAAGTAGCATTTTGTTCAATCTAAGGTTGCTTGTTTTTCTTATTTTTGTTTCTCAGGACAAAAAAGCTGATAGTTGATGTGGTTCGGATTCAGCATGGAGAGACGTTACCAGAAATACTTGAGACCCCAGCTACTGCACCACAGGTCATATATTCTCTGATCTAAACTCCAAACATGAACTATTGTTTACCAAAAGGAAACATTTTATGCAGTTTGCAGTATTCATTCTCTCTTTCAGCATAGTGTGATAACTTTTTACAACTTTGTTTCTGAAGGAGTCAGAGCATACAAAGATTGTCCAGCGCAGAGCGGACCAGGATGCTCAGACACCGGAGGGACTGAAAAGCAGTCCAGCCGTGTTGGAGGACAGTCAGCTGCCTCTCGAGCAGAAGAAGAGGAAAATCTTGAGGAATCTTCGTAATCTTGAGCAGGCTGGTCTTGTCACCGCCAGTAACAAATACCAAGACCTTATAAACGACATAGCGAAGGTTTAAAAGCACTTAATCCTTTTTTTTTTTTGTCTGAAACTACCATCTTTGTGTTCTTCCAATAACTGTGTTCAGTATCAGAATCTTAAGTGGAGTCTCGATCTCTGATCGACAGGACATTCGCTACCAGAGACGCTACAGACAAAGGAGAAAGGCAGAGCTTACGAAGCTTCAGCAGACGCTGATGGCGCTCAACTCAAAAACTGACTTCTTCCAGGAGCAGATGAACTATTTTGACACCTACATCAAGACCTGCCTGGATAATCTCAACCGGAAGTGAGTGTGGATTTCCAAAATGAAAACCTTTTTTTTTTTAAGTGTATTATTTTTGCTGAATTGTCTTATTTATGGCTGTTTTATCTCCAGGAATACACGCAGATCCATAAAACTGGACAGCAAAGGGGAAGAAAAGGGCAGCAAGAAGTGGAAGCCACAGTCTCTGAAGTACACGGCGGCCAAACTGCATGAGAAGGGAGTCATCCTGGAGATTGAAGGCCTTCAGACAAACCAGTAAGTTACCTTCTTATGATGACATAATCAAATCTATAGTGCTTTGCAAAAGTCTTCATACAGCTAGATTTTGTAATTTACAACTGCAAACCTTATTGTACTAAATTGGGTTTGGTTTTATGCCATAACACAACACAAAGTAGTGCAAATTTATGAAAATGATTCATGCTTTTTATAATTTTTATAAATGACAAATAAAAGTGTGGTCACCATGAGTCTGTGCAACATAGAAATGAATCACCTTTCATTGCCATCATGTGAAACTACATTGAAGCTTTTGTTTTGAAGTGACAATTTGTGAACAAGTTTATGAATGTGCAATATGTTAAAATGCATTGACTTTCAAAACTGAACAAAAACATGCTGTATTACATCTAAGAACAGGGCTACCTGTGCATGTGGATTGAGAAAACACTTGAGCTTTTTTTGGTAAATAGATCTAGTATAATCATTTAAAACTGAAAGTTAGGTCTTTATAAGTGCAGTTGAACCTTGAACTAAGTTCATTTTGAATTAAAATGAATTAAAATGATAGTTATTTTCCTTGTCAGCTCTTTTTCTCATTTCAAGGAAAGAAGGTTTTTAGGATAACCTCTCCCACCTTTTATTCTCACTGCAAAATCAGTGTTTGTTCAGGCGTCATCAGAAAGGAAATGGAGGGCAATTACATATCTATTGTCAAAATCTTAAATGATCTTTACAATTTAGAACAGATAAAACGTATACACATCAGAGCTATGTTTTATGTTTCTATTAAAATTTGAGATTTTGCCATCAAACATGTTGTTTTCCTCCTATCATTTTCTGAGTTTTCATATTTACTGTCCTTCTCTTCTCCAAAGGTTCAAAAATGTCATGTTTGACATTTCCCCCACGGAAGAAGTTGGAGATTTTGAGGTGAAGGCCAAATTTATGGGGGTTGAAATGGAAAAGGTCCAGCTTCATTTCCAGGTAATTATTTCCCAACTGTGTCTGAGTTCCATGAAGAATAGCCAAAAAAAGACATAACCGGACCAGAATGACAATCGGACAAGTTTCCTGTTTCTGTCAGGGGATGATGGCAGGAAGTGTGGAAATGAAGGCATCGTCGTTGTTTTTTAGTCATGAAGCAATAAAAATAGATTTAAAAAAAACTGCTTTAATTTAGTTCATGAGCCAAAAGTCTTTAAATCATTCATAAGTTTTCTACTTTGTGTGCAGGACCTTCTTCAGCTGCAGTACGAGGGGGTGGCTGTCATGAAGATGTTTGACAAGGCCAAAGTAAATGTTAATTTACTGATATTCCTTCTCAACAAGAAGTTTTATGGAAAATAAACGTGGAAGAGAAAGCAGGAGTACTGTTGGGAGGAAACTACTTGTGCCTTCACAAAACGTCTTGTTTCATCTGCTTTTAATTTAATGGATCACATCCAAATGAAATGTCAATTTATTGTCTGTCCAGTTTTTTTCTATGTCTTGATTGTAAATGTAATGTACTTTTAAAAATGAAATTGTAATGATATTCATGTTTTATATGTAAGAGACACGCCTTCCAGAAACCTTTGCATTTTGAGAAAACTGTCAGGGTTTTATGAACGTTATAGAAAAAAGCTGCAGCACCATCATGTGAAAAGTGATGTTGCAACATAAAACATGCAATTCTACAGTTTATTAGTGCCTTTAAAATATCTAAATAAAATGTTTTAATTTAACATTAAAGCTACAGAATATCTATTTTAATGTTGCTATTATTACTTTATAATTATTTCTCAATCTTTGACCAATGTCCAGAATAAATTACATTTGTGAATAATTTTTATTTATTCAACCTTTATTTCACCAAGAGAATCCAATTGAGATTGAAGTTAATTCAAGGTTAGCTTACTATATAAGCATTACAATCATAAAGAATTGAGGAAATGGTGCATTTCAAAGATTTTGCCATTTCAGGAGAAAAATATTTTTGGTCTCAGATTGATGCTTCCTTTGTAAAGGGGAGGAGATAAATGGGGCTGGGGAGGAGGACGATCCTCATGACTAATTTGCTAAATGCTCACAGACAAAAGCACTTTAGACACTCATCTGGGAAACGGATAATTTCAGTTCACTGGTTATTTGGAGGATGTATGGCAACAGCATGTTCCCTCTAGTATTCAGCTTGCTGGTTTTGTCTTCAAGTCAAAGCTCAGCACACTCCTCAGAAAACGGTGAGTACTTCTATTCAACTGCCTGACATAATGAGCATAATGTGTGCAAATCTAATATTCAAACTTTCATTCTTTGTGTATAGAGCGATCCTTATACACAAAGAATGAAAGTTTCACTATGAGCCAATGAGTTAAGTTGACCAAATTGCCATAAAATGAGTACTATGTACCTCAAATGTAAGTTTCCATTTACCACTGGGGTCCCTATTGGTCAATTTGGACTGAAAATTAAGGTGAATTCAAGAAAAACGCTACATTTTATATAATGTATTGCAGGAATGTAAGCAACTTTCTGGTGCCGAAAGAATCCATTTTGAATTATTCTACAGAAGCGTATCATTCTCTATGGTTAAAAAACCAACAAATGGCATAATTCAAATGTTCAGCCCAAGTCCACTGTAATTCCCTTACTGTTTTTGTATAAACCATGCCAATCTGTTTATATGGGGTATAGATGTATTGGGACTTTGAGAGTTATTTTCATTTAGTTTTTAGCATGCTCACTTACTGTTTCTTTAAACCTCATTTTTGAATAAACTTTGGCATTTTTGAGTTTCAGACAACCATTAAACAAAGTTGACTCAAGCAAGTTGTATAGGAATGGAGAACAAATCTGTTTCTGTCTTACCGTCGTGAACTGTTTTTACCAAATTGAGATTAAAAATTTAAATGTGGAAAAACATCAGTACCAATAGAAAGTATTCGTCTCTTTGTCAAATAAGTCAACAACATTTGGGTTATTTGACAAATTTTGAAACATCAAAACATTTGATGTCAAAATGAAAACCAATTTCTAGAAAACCAGGTTTAAATAAAACATGTTTACCTCCTTTAAAGTGAGTGACCTAATTCAACAGAGGTCCAGCCAGGTGGTGCTAGAAGATTCAGTGAGTGACATCATTGGAGTGCAGTGACAGGAGCATAATACTTTACTTTCAGACACCTGTGTGTGGAAGTAAGATGCCATTTACATTAAATATGAAATTTTTTTTAAATATATATGTAGCATTTTCCAGCATGATGCAATCTAACCATTTCACCCGATCCCAACAACATTTGACTTTCACTATGAGCCAATTCAGACTGCTTTATGCTAGCCAAATTGCACTGAAGTAATAGTGATATATTTATACTTGAATATCTGAAACAGATTGCTGGTTATTATCGTTTTGTGTCTCTCTGAAGGCTCCATGTTGCTGCCTCGGACTTTCTCAGGTCGCTTTGTCCTGGTGACTGAAGAACCCATGGAATACATTGACCTGTCTGCACTGGACAGTGATGACGACGGCTCAGGTTCTGAGACGGAGCAGAAACTTTTGAAGAAACACGGCCAGCGCTTGCAGAAGCACCTCGTCGTCTCTGAGGAAGCCAAAGAGTTTCTCCAGGGTCACCTCACGACAGCGTTTGTCCCCACGGTTTACATCCTGGTCTTCGTTACCAGCGTGCCTCTCAACCTTCTGGCTGTGGTGATGTTTGTCCACCGAATCCGTCCCAGAAAGCCTGCGGTGATCTACATGCTCAACCTGGCTTGTGCTGACCTTCTGTTTGGCCTGCTCCTCCCCTTTAAAATCGCCTACCATTACAATGGCAACAACTGGATCTACGGGTCCTTCATGTGCAGGGTGGTGACAGCAGCTTTCCACTGCAACATGTACTGCTCCGTGCTGCTCGTCATGTGCATCAGTGTGGACCGGTTCCTGGCCGTGGTTTACCCCATCAACTCCCTGATGTGGCGGAGCCCTCAGACTGCTGCAGCCGTCTGTGCAGCCATGTGGCTCCTCTCCCTGGGAGGAGTGTCCCCCCTCGTGATCTCGGAGCAGACACTGTATTTGTCAGACCTTGGGATTACCACCTGTCATGATGTGCAGGATGTGGAAACCCTGCAGTCCTACTATCTCTACTTCTTCCCCATATACTCCTCCATCTTCTTCTTCATACCTTTTGCCTTCACTACTGTCTGCTATGTTCGAGTCGTTCAGGCTCTGGCAGCAGCTAACTTGGAGAACCGCTCAAAGAAGACACGGGCAATCGTTATGACCGTGGTGGTGCTGCTTGTGTTCGTGGTCTGCTTCGCTCCCACAAACATCATCCTGATGATTCACTATGTTCAGATCAGTCACACATCCAGTGACGGTTCTTACCAGGCGTACCTGCTCTCTGTGTGCATAGGCAGCCTCAGCTGCTGTCTGGATCCTCTCCTTTACTACTATGGCTCCTCTCAGTGCCAGAAGCAGGTGGCTGCAGTGCTTAGGTGCTCTCCACTGGCACCAGCAGGGAGCAGCATGGACACACGCAGCACACAAACGAGTGGATCGAGCACCAGATCCTGCAAGATGGAGGGCATGTATAGTAGTCATTATAACAAGCTGGTGGCTTAAGGAGCATGTTTCTGAGAAAAAAACAAACTTTCACAAAGGTTTTCTTGCTTTTTAACTTTTTAACATTTGGTCATGTTCTAGCAATATTTTAATACATCATTCTGGGAGTTTCATGTAACACAAAGTGGTGCATAAGTTGGAACTGGAAAGACAAGGATGTGTGGGTTCAGTAAAGTAGATGAAGCTGTAAAGTAAAGCACGCATTTTTTTCCAGCTTCTCAGAATCATAAGTCTGAAAAACATCAAGTCTTAAATCTTCTTTCTCATTAACACTGATTAGCTTCTCTGTCCCTTATGATGAAAAGCCTCCCTGCCGAGTGATGCTGCTGCCGTCACTCTGTTACACTCTAGGGATGATGTTTGTACTGTATGCTTCATAAACAAAAAAAGTTCCTTTTTTTGACAGCGTGCTCATTGTCTTCCTGCACAAACTTTAAGCAGGACTTCTTTTGCCTTTATACAACAATGTTTTCTCTTGAGGCAAAAGTTTCAGAGCACATGATGAATAAGAATCATTTTCTTTCCATCTGAGCTGAGAACCTGCAGCTCATCCACAATCAACATGTGCTTCTCGGCTGCATCTCTCAATAACTCCCTCTGGACCTCTCTTACCATGTAGAGTTCGATGGACTCCCATGTCTGTGTAGGTGGTTTGCAATTGTTTCATACTTTTAACATTTTTGTATGATGGATTGGACTACGATGGTCACAGAGCGGTTATACAGGTGAAATCTGTTTACCTGTCATACTAAAGGGCATCGAACACACGCTGCATTTTTTATGTGCAAGAGAGAAAACCAGCCTTCCACTTTACACTTATGCTCTACTTTATCATGAAATCTCAAAACATTAAAGTTTGTGTATGTAATTTGACGACATGTGAAAAAGTTCAGTAGTGCTCAAGTTGGATAGAATAAATTCTTGATTTTGGTTTGAGGTTTATACAGAAAGCTTTAACACTGTATCCACCATATAACACTGTCACTGACTTCGCCTTCCTGGTCTCCTCTGTCAGGGAATCAAACCATCAGAATCTGTTTCACTATCATACAAATTACAAGTTGCAAACATAATGTCTTTTTTTTTTTTTTTTTTTTTAGAGAATGTGTAATTATGTACTATGTAAGTAAAAGCAAACAAATATGTAATTTGAATCATTTTATTTTTTTGGTTGTCTGTTTTTTTTTTTCCTTTCTGAATGTATTGTTGTGATTTTTGTTAATTCAAATGGCATCGACAGATAATATCACAAGCATATTCAAACCTCACATAGGAAATTAATTTATCTTCTGAGAGGCAAATTAGTTAATTTTTGGATTTTGACAAAACTTCAGAGTTTCTATGACAGATTAATGTCATAAATTTATCACCTTTAGGTAATTAATTTAAAAAGAATGTTAGGAGAGAGCTTCACTAAACTGTGAATGAACTTGTTTGTGGGAGTCCACCTCTCAGTTCGAAGAACTATAAAGAAAAACAGCGACTGAGTCAAAGATAAAACTGTATATTTGGGTTTCTGAATGGATGTTGTTGGGCCTCTTTGACTCTGCATTTTCTTTTATTGCTGCTCAACTTTTCGCTTCTTTGTCGGGACACAATTCTGTAAGACAAAGCAAGAGAAGAACAATGCTTCATCGAATAAACAATACATTCAAGTACTAACGACAGTCATGACTGAATTCTTAATATCCAGATATAAGATCTCTACCTTGTGGTAGTTTCTGCATTGCCTCAAGACACAATCTGCTGTCGAGTCACTGACCTGCTGTGGTGTCGTAGCTGTGAAAGTTCTCTGGGAAGTTCAGACAATTTGCTTGCTTCCTGAAATGTTCCACCTCTGTGGGATGGATTTTTCCTGTCCTTGCTGTGAAAAAGGGAATAAATCTAAAATATGCATGTACATTTCAAACTTTCACAGAGATATGCAGGGGACAGCGGCTCTTACTAAACTGCATGATGTATCTGCCTGTGAAGTCCACATTACGAAAAGTATCTGTCCACAGCAGGCAGTCGGAGCAAGTCTGCAGGAGGTGTCCTTTGTGGTCCGACAGGTTTTCTGAAAGTGCAGAAAGAAGTCGAACTTATTATGAGAGGCCATAATCTGTTGGAGGCTGATTCTTTTTTTTTTTTTTTTTTTTTTTGGGTTTGTAGAAAAATTGAGGACTGATGTTTGTGCTTTACATACTGCGAAATGTGGCTGTGAGTCCAGAGACGGTTGCATTTACGTTTCCAAAGATGCACCGCCGACTGAAAAACAATGTGACGAGTTTTATGAGGCTTAAATCAACCTTACTTTTGCATAAGATTGCAACATTTTTATGCTGCGAGAACATTTTGTCATCTTACAAACATAAAATTAATAGAATTTTTTAGGATATTTGTGGCGGCTGACACGGAGTAGTACAGAAATGTAAAAATCAAATAGATATATTTTTTAAAAGATTGGTGGAAGTTCTGTGGAAAAGAGTCAGAAAACCTTAGAAAGCTTTATTAGGAGTTATCAGTTAGCCAGCAAATATGTGAAGGATACTTTTATGAAATCAAATCTGAACCCTTTGGCCCACATGGCGACTGTAGCGCATCACAATGAATTCTCCATCCTCACTAGAATGTGGAAGTGTCAGCATAATGCTGCTCTTTGACAGGGACAGTGAGGCCGGTCAGAGGTCACGGGTAAATGGATGAAGCCAACTACAGGTCAACATCGGGGTTTAAAAAAAACGGTACAAGCTGTTTCAAACTTGAGCGGAATGGTTTCATAAAGTATATTTATGTGTTTGAGCAACTCGGCTTTAATTCAAACCACAATATGTGAAAGTACTTGGAAAATGTCAAAAGTGAAAAACAAAAATTGAGGAGAGATACTCTAGAAGACCAACAGCTGTATCTGCAGTAAAAGTTGCTAACATGACCACTTTGAATCAGATGTGTTCAATACACATGTACACTACAAACAAAGGAGAACCATTAATTTTTTACTTTCTACTTAACAATTGCAAGGTAAATGTGATTTACTTAAAATGAAAATGTACATAAAATCCCAAGAAACTCCATAAAAGTTAGCAGCTAGACAGACTACTCACAAGCAGTAATCCCCCCATCGCAGAGTCACAGTCAAGTTGTCAGAGGTGGGCTGCAGCTCAATCCAGGAACTTTTCATGTACTCCAGTGCTTTGTGGTATGTCACTGGATCGCCTGCTCCCATCACATAAATCCATTTTCCAAATAACTTTAACCAAAATGTGAAAGAAACACCCACAAGCTAAATGATTACCTGAAACTGTCTTAAAAAAAATCATTTGAAGAGGAGACAGAGATGAGCAGGACTCACCTGTTCTGGCTCCTCTGGCATGTAAGGTTGGACCAGCTCCTGGCAGTCCGGAGCAGACGCTGCGCTCAGGGAAACGACGGTCAGCAGAAAGCAGATGACAGACAGAGCCATGGTCAGACAGCAAATTGTTACTGATCCTGCAACAGAAACCTTCTGATGCCGACTCAATTCCCTCCAGGCTTTCAGACAAAAAAAAAAAAAAAAAAGGAGATGTTGTGTAAGTGCTAAAGACAAGGGAGGAGGGCAAAACTTTACGCTCGAACGCTCCTGCAAAGCCTTTCCAGGAACCACTCAGAAACATGCAGATTTCTTTTGGACAGCTCTGAAAGAACTGCTGAATGGTCCTCTGTTGCAAACGCCTCAGCTCCTGAACAAACTCCGGCAGAGAGCCACATCCTTTCAAATGTCCAAATAAAGGATCAGACAGAGTTTTGCATCAGCAGAGGAAAAGGTGATTGTTTGTTGGGCATCGTTCTCCCTCCTGCTGGGTGTTACCCAGCGACAGTTTGCTCTTTGAATTAGTTTTATTGAGCAGGGAACTCAGCACAAAACGATCAGACTGTGAAGAATGGAAAAATCATTTGCCAGAACATCATTCAGGGGGATTAAAAACTGCTTTTATTCACCAACAAGTACATCAACCGGGGAAAAAAACAACAAATAAAATCAGTTTTCATGAGATTTAATAGTTCAGGCTAAACTACAAAGAGTTGATCTACTGCAACATGATAATGCAGTTTAGTGCATGTTAAGCTGGATCCATGGAGGCTCCCCACAGAGCTGGGGTGACTCTGTGCTTTAATTCTCAGCTGGCTGATTCTCGGCTTGATCCGACTCTGTTTCCCTAACAGCAGGTGATGTTCTCTCCCCTCTGTCATCTGGACACAGATCTGAAAAACAAACAAACAAAAAAAACTGAACAAAAAGAAAAACGAGGAAAAAATAATCACAAAATAATTAACTGTTTCCTCTGAGGCTCGTCCTACTTTGAGGACTTGGAAAAATGGCTGACCTGTGCTTACGAAGTGATACTCTGGGAGAAATCCAAGACATTCTGCTTGCTTTTTGAAGGTTTCCAACTCAGGAGACTCCAGAGCGCCACTCCGTGCTTTAAAGAAAGGAGACATGTCAAACTGTAACCCAAAACACACTGTGTTTCTGTTCAATGACTTGGTAGAGAGCATAGGTAAACTGTCTCACTGAACAGAAACAGGTATCGGCCTTTTGATTTCCCATCAGGCAGTAGGGTGGTGTCCTCAGACAGGAGGCAGTCGCTGCACGTCTCATAATACTTCCCATCATGATAGGAAGTGTGACCATTGATTATAACTGCAAAACATGGGAGAAATTACTGCATGTGTGAAGAGTAAAGTAGATGTTTCCAAAAGCAAAGCTGCAAAATCAGCCCAAAAATTGTTTGTACATTAGCTTGTAAAATCCACCCGAACCTTTCAAATGTGATTTGTAAGCACGACACACCAAATATAAACGAGTCAGTAAGACAAAGTTTCAAAATACATACAAGTGGTGTGACTTGTTATTCCCGATATGGAGACATTTGCTGCACCCTGAAGGCACTTCTCTTCACTACTGTGATGAAAAACAGCAAAAATCAACCCGTTAATTTATGCAAGAGATCATAAACCATGTGCTCTGCATGGATCAGTCACACGTATAAACTGTCTGTTAAGGCCATCAACATTCAGCGGAGCTCTTACAGACGGTCGGCCCAGTACAGGGAGATGACTCCACTGTCAGAGGTGGGGGACAGTTCCACCCAGGAGCTGTGCACCGACTGCAGGTCGGTCTTCAGGTCGTGCTTGTCCCAGGAGCCGACGTGGAGCAACCACTTTCCATAGATCTGCACATACAGTCACTGCACATTTGACTCAGTTCTAACTCAGATCTTTATTCTTTAAAAAGCGAGTTACTGCTGTGATTTTGAAGATTGCAGCCTCTTTTAATGACTAACTAAATTCTAACAGTATGATTAGTCTCATTATAATAATTTTATTTATTGTATTTCTTTCTTAACTCACTTATCTTATTCACCCATCTTATTGTGTTGACTACTGATAGTATTATTTTTCTAATATTCCAGCATTTGTTCATTTCACAGTGCTACTGTAATTGGTATGTCTGCAATACCTGCAGGGTTTTACAAGTGCAAAAACAATCATTTCTATTACTTTAAACGCCAAACGACACACTGTGACCTTGGAAATCACAAGAAAAGAAAGAAAACAAACAATAACAAAAGAGCTAGAAACTTTAAAACTGTGGTTTTACATATGTCCTTGAAACTGAAGTTTACATTGAAAATAATGGGATAAAAGAGTAATTAAGAAAAAAAACAGAGATGAAATGTTTTTTGATATCAGAATAGATCCTTCCTTGGAAAAGTAAACAGACAAGTACAAGATGTCGTGATGCAGGCTAATATAAAACTGTACATATGGCAGAAACTTTAAATTACATTTGCTTGAAATAATATGTAAAGTAGCTATATTATTTGTAATGTCTGCTTTTATAACAGAATATGAAGCACAATGTTGCATGTTGCCATTTTCAATAAAAAATCACTCCCAACTCTAATTAAGAATTGAAAATCCTCTTTCTCTGTGTGAGCTGCAGCCTCCCAATAAACCACTGAGTCCTTTAATCAGCGCGGTTGGTCGGTGGTCGGTGTTTGGAGGCTCTTCACTCATGTCAGATATACTCACAGGGCTGTGGCTGTCCAGCACCAGAGGCTTCACCAGCTCCTTGCAGTCCGGCTCAGGCGCGGCGGCGCTCAGGGAGGTGAGAGCCAGCAGAGCTACAGCCAGCTGTGCAGCCATGGTTGGAGACAGCAGGCAGCCGGGGAGCAACACTGATGTCAGGGATCCTGCTGCCAGCTACAGACCCCTAAAGGAACCGAGGGACGCCTTCTGATAGGGGGCAGGGCCACACACGCAAGATGGGAGCTTTGTACCACCACCACCACCCCCTGCTTGTCCTTATGCACCCCAAAGAGCTTATTATTTCTTAATAATGAAAATAAAATGCTGTTCCCGACACAGTCACACAACTGAATACACGTGCTTGGTCTCTGTGGGAAACAAATGTTTAACTTTTCGCCTCCATTCGGCAGGAGTTCGAATCCTATTTATCTTGTTACGTAACAAGCAGCTGGCAAAGTGTGAATAGCAGGACCCCCACATGTCTCAGCATGTGAACAGAATGTCATCAAAGTGTCAGGCACTTTCAGAGACACAGAGACACAAGCACACGGAAATTTCTCCCCCATTCTGGCTTCATCTCTTCTGTTTCTAGCAAAAAAAAAATAAAAAGTCTTTAAATTGTTGTAAAAATGAAAGAAAAACTGACCAACTTTTCTTATTTATTGTGTATCAATAAAATCCGTTTTGGCCTCTGACAAAACTCAAAAACAAGCAGAATTTTCTCCATGCGAAACGTCTTTGATTTCTGAAAGGGTCGACATGGCTGGTTTGGCACAGGGACAGAGGGAGAGCAAAAACAGAACAACAACCTCTGCTTAGCATTCAGGTCATGATCCTTAATATTAGAACCAAGATGGAGACATTTTCTGATCTTTGTTATCTTTGAATACCGTATTTCCGCTGTTTTCTGCATCTCAGGACTCTTGTTTGTGACAGCAATGAGAATCTGCTTGGAAATTTAAACTCTGACCCTCCTACAAAGCTCTATTTGTGAGCATTATATCTCGTAAAGCCCAAACTGCTGCTTTGACGGTTCTTCCTTTCTTTTTTTTTTTTTGTAGCACACAACTCTGTCTTGCTGGCTAATCTTGCATGAATAAATTGTCCAACAAGTTGCAGTTTTGTCATCAAAAGGAGACTATTTGTGCACATCTTGGCATATCTGGATAACTGGAGTGTGAAAGGACGGTAAAAGCTGGAAGGATAAGGACACTGAAAAACATTTTTATAAAAAAGCCCACGGTGAATGGAAAGTCAGTGGAGAGATTAAATGATTTTTTCTTTTGTCTCTTTTCTCACACAAGAACAGAAGATGCAGGTCCTTCCTTTTCTGCTCTGTAAATCTGCTTATTGAACTCAAAAGAAACCTCTTGCTCACAAGCTTAAATTAAGGCTTGTCATAAAGTATCATCCAATGCAACGTCCTTTCATGCTTAGTCAGACAGAACTGTAGAGTTTGAAGTGTCGTTTGTTGCAGGCAGGGTTCCCCCACACTTTTCATGTCAAAAATCCATTCATTTTCTCACTTCTTTTTTGTTGCCAATTTAAAACTGTAAATGCAAAACCTAAAAAGTTTTTGTGCATAGGTTTGCGCAACCCACAGATTGAGGGATGGGTGGATAGACAGATACTGTTCAGACAATTTAACAGGGCATAAAGTCGAGAAACAAGTCTGTCCTCACTAAATGTCTTTGTCCATACTTGTCTAAGCTGAGAAAATTGTCCAATCAAATGTAAGACGTTTCCAGATTGGTAGAAACTCTACTGACAAAATTATTTTCCTCATCGGTGGGATTAGGTACCTATAAGGTGCCACTCACAACTTCTTTACCGTGAAAGAAAACATATCAGCATAATAATTTCTGTTTTACATGCATCACTGAGGTTTATCTTGAAAGACATTGAACAGACAGCAGTGAATGGTTTGCAGCAGACTACATAGTTTATTTCCAAACAGTTAAAACAAGTTATGCTTCAGGGCGTTAACTAGGAAATCACATGTGAATCGTGATTAGATCCAAAGAGTTCAGGAACAGAAGGCACGAGGGCGGAAAGCAGACGGTCACTTGTGTTCTTCTATTGTTCTTCTGTATGTCCCTCTGCAGGGGCAGTAGTATGTTCCCTTTCCTCAGGACAAAGGTCTGAAACACAAAGGAAGTCAGGTTGTGTTAAGTACTACATGCTGCAGACAGCTAAGAACAGACAGAAAGACCGAATCTTACCAGTAGTCTCCAGATAATAGAAATCAGGTAAGAGGTTCAGACACTTGGCCTGTTTCTTGAAAACCTCAAGATCGGAGGCGTCCAGTTTCCCTGTCTTTGCTGATATTTGTGAAAGGAGAAGACGGACATTACTACAGTTTACAAATAACTGATAAATCTGTTTTTTTTATTGTGATTGTTAAAGAAATAAACCTGGAACTCACTGAAGATGTAAAGGTTTTTGCTTTTTCTTGTCTCCCCGTTCACCTCGGCCACCGCGTCGTCCACCCACAGGACGCAGTCAGCGCACGTCTCCAAAAAGCGCCCGATATGCTCATATGTGGTGGAGTTATAGTAAACTGCAACAGATGAAACGTAACATCAACATGTTTTCCTACGAGAGATGGTGGTGTGACGCGCCACAGCAGGGATCTACTTACAGATCACCTTGGTCGCGTTTCCTGAAGTGCTGGAGTTAAGGGCCCCACAAACACATTTTCCCTCACTGCCAAAGGAAATTAAGATAACTCTCACTTTAAAATGTTACCTTAGTAAAGCATTATTATTATTGAAATGATAAAATAGGAATTTCCAAGTGCACATACATTTTGTCCATGTAGTGCAAACTGAATTCATCGCTGTCAGGTATGGTGGTGAGTTGAACCCAGGAGCTGTTCACAATCTTTTTTGCATTCAGGTTTTGTTCGCTGTCTGATGCTCCAGCATGTAAAACCCATTTTCCATAAATCTGTTCAGATGAAGGAACAAGTGTGGAATTACTTTTCAGGAATACATACATTGTGATGCAATAAAACCCCCCTAAGGTAAAATCATCCAGTTGTTGGTTTGTTGATTCTGAGCAGCTGCTGCCCTGCTTACCTTGTTTCTGTCCTCCAGAGGTTTAATCAGCTCATCACAGCCTGGATCAGATGCGGCGGTCAGAAAGGAGAGAGCCAGCAACGCGAAGCAAAACTGAACAAACATGGTGGGAAGCTGAATGGAAGTCAAGTGGATGTGGTTGCAAGGGCAGGACAGCTGAGCTCTTTTGGGAGGGCCTGGATCAAGACTGGGAGACAATGATCACGTAACACACACACACAAACACACACCCATGCACGCACACACAGAAAGACAGAGAGAGAGAGAGAGACAGAGAGAGAGAGAGAGACAGATAGAGACAGAGAGAGAGAGGTTTGAGGTTTGATTTGGGCGGGCTGTACAGAAGTGGGACAATGTGATATAATCACTTAAAGTTTACACCAGAGACCTGATCTAATGCTTCTGGACCCCTTCTCCATATTGACTTCATCTAATTTATTCTTGAAAAATGTCACTTAGTGAAATGTTTAATTTCATCTTTCTGTAATAGAACAATATTTCATACCCATCTCAGAAATGCATAGAACCAATACCCGGCAATATCTGTCTGAAAACTCCATTTCGTGAGATTTCGTGTGGTTAAACATTGCATAAACACAACATTAGCAGCATGTCAGTGATATTTTAGCCCAAGCATCAATTTCATGAGTTCAATGAACTGTGCGTTCAGTCAGTCTGAGTCCCTTTAACTCAAACTGGCTGCACTGAAACAAAGAAGACGCTGTTGTACATTCTGCTGACAGTTTTTGCTGCTATGGATCCAAACAACAAATCCTTAATCTGAGCTTTAATATTTCCAAACTGATACCAATATCTAGACATGTCACTTATTCTCATATTTCTTTTTAAAACTATTCGTAAGAAACCAATTTAAAAAGGACACATTTGTATTTAGTGTGATTTACCAAAGGAGGCTAAATAACACCAGTAATAATAAACAATAATATGCCTCTAATACAGGCTTTAATTACATCCTACATTTGTTGAGCTGTGTAAACGGAAGTATCTTTTGGCCTGAAAGTCATGTTATAGTTTCTAATGTGATGAATAAAGTCTGGAATACATGATCAGGAGTGACATTTCAGCTTACAAAACATTTAAATGAATACCGTTTAAGTAATTAAGATGAACTGAATGCACTCACTGCAGGTCAGAGCCTCAATTCAGAGGAAACGGGATCTTAAAGAAGGTTTAACCAATGCAATGTCTCCATTTTTATAGCCTTTTTTTTTCTTTCCTAAGTACTTGGTAGGTGAAAGTAAATTCAACATGTGTGCTGAAAGAAGGCAGAAACAAATCACAAGGACAAAGGTTGTTTTCAGAAAAAAAAGATAAACGTTTAATTACAATAAAGCCCATGCTTTAAAGTAAAATTAAACTTGCAGGTGAAAGAATTTACTTATTCCAAAAGATGAATAATATATACTTGAAATATCCTCTAGATGTTTCTAACAGTGATGATTCAATAAAGTCAAAACAATATTTTCTTTTTAGACATTTGGAGCAAAAGGAATCAATTGAATACATTGACAACATAATGCTGGATTTGCACCTGCCAAGAGATTTCTGCATAACTAGAAACAATTATGCATAAGGACTCTAACTCTGAACGTATATCAAAGCAGATTTATTTCAGACTTCAGAAACAGCAACAACGAAGGGAGTGAAGGTGAAACTTTATTGTTCTCCAGCGTTTGCATTTGTTGAGGCAGCAGTAGGCTCACTTTCTTCAGGACACAGGTCTGAAATAGAAAGGAAATCAAGACTCATTACATATTAGGAAAAAGACAGTTTTGGTACAGAGACAAAGAAGTAATTTTACTTGTAGTTTCTGGAAAATAGAAATCTGGAATGAGGTTGAGACACTTGGCCTGTTTGTTCAAAGTCTCTTGATCGGATGGATCCAGTTTTCCTGTCTTTGCTGAAGGTTATGGAAGGAGAAAATGGATATCATTTCAATGTCTAGCGCAAAAAAAAAAACTGCTTGTTTTTTGTCAAACAAATCATTTCAAACAATAAAATAACAACACAACAGAAAACTCACTGAAGAGGTAGAGGTTCCTGCTTTTTCTAACGGCGCCGTTAATCTCCGTCAAGGCCTCGTCTGACCAGAGGACACATTCAGCGCATGTCTCCAGGTAGTTCCCAACAAAAAGACAGAGCGGACGGTCAAACTTTCTTCTTGCACCTCTAGTATTTGCTGCTTATGGCCGAAAGAGCACTGCTGCCTACTAACAGATCACCTTGGTAGAGTTTCCTGAAGTGCTGGAGTTGGCACTACCATAAACACAATTTCCTTCACTGTTAAATAGAAATAAGAAGAAAATAAACATTAAAAATGTAACATAATACTCTTCGATGACAATCACTGTTTAATCAACTAATTCTAATAATCATAGTAACTTTTAAAGCATCACAGCTTACATTTTGTCCACATAGTGCATGATGAATTCGTCACTATCAGGTATGGGTGAGATTTTAGACCTGGAGCTGCTGGAGATTTTGTGTGAATTCAGCTCTTCTTCATTGTCAGATGTTGCAGCTTAGAAAATCCATTTTCCATGAATCTAGATGTAAATAGAAAGTGTGATTGTTCAGGAAAGCTTCCACAATAAAAAAAAATTGGTTTAAAAATGAGGGAACAAACATAATTTTCATCTTCAAACCAGATCATTTTAACAAGTGAGTCAGTGAGTTTAGTAAATTCTGAAATTTCTTCTGTTCCGACTCAGATTATCTTAGAATATTTTGACATTTCACCCCAATCAACGGTTTGTGTTGTGTGAATGCATGAAACTAGAGACCCACCAAAACTGAAATAAATCGATGTCATTGTTAGACTGAACAGGACCTGAACCATCAATGGGGGCTTTAGAACAAAATGCAACTAAATTCTGCTTCACACTGTCAGTGCAAAGCACTGCTTACCTTGCTTCGGTCCTCCAGAGGTTTTATCAGTTCCTCACAGCCTGGATCAGATGCGGCGGTCAGAGAGGAGAGAGCAAGCAGAGCGGAGCAAAACTGAACAAACATGGTGGGAAGTTGAAAGTGGATGGTGCTGCAGGGACAGGACAACTGAGCTCTTTCAGGACAAAGACTCGGAGACAACGTCTTATGTAACAGAGAGAGAAAGGAGAATTGGCAGTAAGAAGTCTGTGCAGCAATAGGACTGTGTTACACAATCAGTGACTCAGATGCCCATTTGTTTAAGTCTTTTTTTCTTTTAGTTTATACATTTGTGTGCAGAGGACAATGTTTAATATCTGCTCACAATTTGCAGGGCAGTCATGAGGAGTTCTTTTGCAACTGGCCTGTTGGATGGACATTTATGGGACTTTGCTTTTTAGTCTGCAAAATTTGTGGAGACCATAATCAAAACAGGTCATGCTGGTTTTAAAACTAGGAGTTTTACTTTGTTTAATTCAGCTGAGGGCTATAAAATTCTATCATAGGACACAGAATATCTTTTTTCAAATGGTTTTCTTTTCTGCTCTTCTGATACTTTGCATCTCGTTAAACCAAATGTACACTGTGCCATAAAATCTTTATTTGTTTGCACATTTCATTAGTGTTTAAACTAAAAAAATTGGGTCATGTTTTACAAATAGAAACAAGATTTACAATCAAATTTATTGTCGCCATCAACCTGTATTTTAAAGTGGTACCATCATCAGTTTATCTGACCAGGTTTATTATCTCACTGATATTCTACTGCATGTCAGCTTCCTGCTCTCTCAAACATCACTGCTCTCAGGGACAAGCAGCAAATCTGTGATGACATAAATCTTCCTTTAGGCGTTTTCAGGTTTTAACAACAATAAGACAAGATGTAAAGCACTTTGAACTGCCTTGTTGATGAAATGTGCTATACAAGTAAACTTGATTGATTGTTTTGCTTGACGACACAACTTGGAAGGAACATAATTTCTGCTAAAGAGCTGCAAACATTCACTTACAGCCACACCAATACAAAAAGACACAGATGACTAAGGGAAGAGAAGCTTTATACCAGCAAATTCGAAACCCATGAAACTTCTCCGCTTATTTACAAAAACATAATACAAGAATAAAAAAGAGAAAAATGAACACATCACAAATGAAGTCCCACATAGCGTCACAGAACAGAAATGCAATCTAATTTACAAACTTATCTTCTTGTACTCCCACTTTATGGCTTCAGTCTAACACACACGCACGCACGCACACAAAATAAGATTAAAATGTCTCTTTTCAGCTGTGATGGTGGCTTATCAGTCCATTCCTCCCACTTCAGTGATTCTCTGCAGAGTAACATTCAAATAATAATTACATCAAATACACATACAAGAGAGAGGAGCTACATTTGTGACCTGTACATGTTGAAGCATGGAAAGGAACATGTTCACACAAATACTGACCTTTGTACATAGTGGCAATCATGGGCACTGGAAAGTAATTTTTTTATTATTTTTTATTTAATGAGTCAAAAGAAGCTTTTAGCTTTCTGTACCAAATCACATTTTAAAATCATATTAAAATCACAGTTTAACCGGATGACAATTATTTAGGAGTCGTCAGTGCGTTCTGAGATTGAGATTTGCCATTCATTTGTGTCTCAGCTGAATACAGAGGATTAGACCCGCTGTGCATTTCGCGGATCCAGGATGTGGACGCAGGAATACTGTGAAGCAGTATGAAAAGTGGAAGAGGTCAGAGAATCCACAAAACATATGCAAGTTCTGATTGCTTTCCCATGAAGAAAAGACAGTATAGGTTCTCACTAACTCTTGTTGAAATGTTGTATTGCAGGTATGCTGTGAACAGAGCCCAAAGTCCAACACTTTGAGCAAACAGCTCATGGGTTACATCACAACAATGATTTTCAGTTAAATACAGAAAGAGGCCAATTCCCCTTGCTTGGAAATCAAGTGACAACTTTCTAACTGCACAGTAGTATTGCCTGAAAACGATAATCAATTATTGTTGCTGCTCTTCCAAGTTATCTTTTTTTTCTCTTACAGATGAATTAATCAAACGTTACACAAAGGTCAAGTGGATATAAAAAAAAATAAAATAAAATAAAAAGTAAAGGTCTTTTGTTTCAATAGTGACTGATTGTTGTTGCAAAATTATATTCTGTGTTGAAATTAAAAATTGGATAATTGCTGATTGTAATATTTTCTTATTTTACCTGTGTTGGCGAGACAAACGGAATGATGTGGGCCATATTTGTGGTTGAGTTCAGAAAATATTCAAAACATTTCTTCAAAGCACAAATAAATAAAATGATGCAACGCTGTAGACAACCACAGGTGGTGAAAAAGTGTCTTAAATAATTGCAAAAGACTGAAATAAGGCTAAGAGGCTTGCGACTGCAGTGGGTTTGCATTTATGTTGTAATAAAAAACAGAATTTATCATTAAAAAAACTGAAAATATGTTTAACAATTAGATAAATTAAAATAAAAACAACATTCTGGATACTGTGGTTTGTTTTCAATGATCTTCAGTAGAATGTATTCTATCAGTCACCTGTTGGATGTGCATATACTGCTCCATACACATCGGATGTAAATATACAAAGAGTTCTCCTCTTGCTTGATTCAGTTGGTTTCCTTTGCACAGTTTCATAGTTGTAAGAGGAAGAACTGCTGAATGTAGCAGAGTCACCACTTTGAAGAAACAGAAAAGAAGAGACATGGGCAGAAACCACGGAGGTTTTGGGGTAACGGGCGCCTGGAGGTCAGGGGGCAGCTATGGCGGACGACGAGTCACTGGCCTAAATGATGTCAAATCGTGTCTCTCTGCTTCATCTGGATTTCCCCAAAGACAGGTTTGTGAGCGACTGAGAAAAACCTGCTTTCTGAGTCTTCACACGCTCATTGTCATGTTTGGAGAATACTGCTGAAAGGAGACGAGGAAAGACAAGAGAAGTGTGAATGTTGCATTCATGTGTAACAAGAAGCCAGTCACATGATACAGTGTGACACGATATCATTTTGCATTGTATCATTTTACAATTACAAATTTGTGTTATGTATGAATTGTACTTGACTGGTCAATTCAAAGTAGCACATACTTAGGGCGTGGAAATAAAAGAATACCTTAGAAATGAAAAAAATGAAAGGAAATACCAGAGCCACATTCTGGTATTTCTGTCTCTCTATCTCTCAAAAAAATAATATACATATGCAACATTTCTGTGAAGGCCTCAAATGAATGTGACCTTTCATAATGTAAAGGTCACGGTCACACAAAAATGAAACCATGAATCTTTATTTCTTCCACTTTGAAATCATGCACAGCTTTGTGTTGGTTTATCACGTAGAAATAAATAAAACTCCTTAAAGTTTTCAATTTCAATAGCATCAGAAAATGTGAGGTGTTCAGGAGGCTTGAACTGTTTTTTCTTCCAGAACAAACTTTCTCCATGCCAACCTGAAAGCTAAGGTCAGGAGTCGCTGAGCTTGGAAAAAGAGAAAGTTTGTTTCTATCGATACTAATGTCAGCAAATCAAAGTGACACATCGTGTTTGTGATTCAAAGTTGCTTTGTGGATCTTTGCCATCGCTGTGAGACTGCTAGGCAGCCAGCAATAGATTGTACAAAAATTCATTGTTTATAGCCTCGGTGTAGCAAGTAAAAACAACATCTTTGAAAACTGATGGAATTTTGTTCAGGAAAAAAATAAAGTTACTCTCAACTTTTCTGAAACATATGAATAAAATCTCCTGAACAATAAATAACTTACGCTTTCATTCTGAAATGGATTAAGGAAGTTTCCTCCCATCTCTCCGTCCTCTCTGGGTGTCCCTGGTTGGTTGCTCATACTTAGGTTACCAGGAGAGTTCTGTGAGGAGTAAAACATGTTTAAAGAAAACTGTGACTTCATGAGTTGGAGGAAGAAAGCACCTCGAGTGCTTTACTAACCTTAGAGAGACTGTCCATGTCGCTGGACCCTGAAACACAGAGCAGTCTATCACAACTCTGCACGGATTTTATGTGACGCATCAGGAGCAAACATGATCACAAATGTGCAAAATATACATATTGCTTGTTCTTTTACCTAAAGATCCGTTCATATGATGTGGCTCCATCCCTGCCATTCCTCCCAGTGGACCGTCGCTCCCGCCTCCCATTGGGAACTGAGCCGCGTTCATGCAGGAGAGACAGAAGCAGCAAAACACACACATCAAGATCTGACCTCATTCTTCTAACAGATCACATTCTGTAGAGCAAAGAGATGAAAAGGTCTCACATTCGGCCGGCTTCCACCAGGAGGGACGGTGTTTATTATGGTGTACATGTTGTCACCAGAGTTAGTTGAGTCTAACAGAGCAAAGAAAGAAATGTAAAGGGAAAGATCTTCAACATACAGACATGAAAAGATGGATGCAAGGCTCACCTGCTGGACTCGGCATTATTGGGGTTCCAGGTGCACCGCCTCCTCCTGGAGGTCCCTGGAATTAAAAGTTTAGTTTTTTATTGTATAAATTACCAACCACCAGGCCATACAAAGAGTGCGGCACAGTTTTATATCTGTCATACATACCACATAGCTGCCTGGGGATGCAGATGAGTAGGGAGTCTGGGAAAAAACGGAGAAGAAGAAAATCAAAGTGATGAAGTCAGAATTTTTTAAGGCCTTTTTGTTTGAGGACTTACAGAGTTTGAATTTGGAGGATTTGGCCAGGGTCTCCCACCTCCATGTCCCCTGCAACACAGACACACAATCACATCGGTATGCTGCTTTTATGCAGGCCTTGCTGTTTCTGGTCAGAGTTGGCAACAACAACACGTTCTGATGCCAGAAGAAAAGGTGGTGGGAACAAAAAGGCAAAAAGGCAAAAAAAAAAAAAAAAAACCCAAAAGAAAAAAAACTTTGACAAAAGAAGATAAAATAGTGGAAAGCCAACTTCTGGGTCCACAGTAAATAACCGGAGAAAAGAGTAAAAGTCTGAGTGTGGGGACAGATTTAGGATATCTGACATTTGTTTTGCTCTTTAACTGAGAGAATGTGTCATTTAATTTACGGTTTGAAATGCAGACCAAGATGCTGGAGCACCACAGTGCTACTTTTATGCCAGTACCCATAGCTTTGCACATTTTGCCACATTCCACAACACAAGCTACAATTTATTTTATTGGAACTGTATGGGAGAGACCAACATAATGGCCTATCTGATAGAAGCAGATAGGAAAATACTCTGACAACGTTGTGTTTGTCTAGTTTGTAAAATTAAAATAAAATACATAAAGTTTTGCTGTTTTAATGGCACAAATTGAGAACAAGTTCAGGATGTTGGAATACATTTTCTACTAGTATTACATGATGATGTGTCCATCACTCACATGCTCATACCAGGCATCCCAGGACCAACCAAAGCATTCAGCGGGGGTCTCATCCCACCTCCATAGTTCTTAAGAGCAAAGAAAAATACAAACACTCAAAAACACATTGCTTTGTGTAGATCCTCATTTGATGATTTGTCCATACCTGGGGCCCCAGAGGTACCATTCCTCTAGGTGGAGTCATCCTCTGCATCGGTCCTCCCATGCTTGGATGCCCTGAAACATGAACACCACACAGTCAGTGTTAATTTGACACTTTGGACTGAAGGTTAACAGGTTTATCAGATCAGAACCATTTTCAGCAATCATGTACTACTAAACTGCAAAATCTCTTTGTCAAAACACCAGAACGTCATCATACGTATTTTACATTTGCTCCTTAAAATAAAGATGAAAAAGCGGCTTGGTTGATGTTATTCAATCCAGTAAATTTGAATAAATCTTCCAAGAGATTTGGAAAATTTCATATTTGAAATTCAGCCTATATCTGACAGCCCTGTATAAAACTCTTTTTGCACAGCGAGCTCTATGAGAGCCAATTTTGCTCTCCAGTGATCAAAGACATAATTATGCAACCAAGCTGACTCTGATGACAAAAAATTGCTTACCAATGCAGGAGTCTCACTTTTCATCATTTTTTTGAAGTCAAGCAAGCTTTTAGCTTTGTCAAACCTTTTATTCTGATTTTTAAAATTGTATTTGATCATTTGCTAGAATTTCAGGTGATTTGGGTTTTGCAATTTCACAATAAAATCCAGTTCAGCCATTCTCTCCATAGAGATTATAATTTTCCTGCTGGATTAAAATCTGTTTTGTTTTGGAGCTACAATGACTGATCGTTATAAACTTAGTCCGTAAGCTTTGAGTTTCACTCCCATGTCAACACTTCTATCAAGCATTGATCTCAAAGAAGACACTGGAACAGAAAAGTGAAGTCATGCTAGCTCGGTGTATTGTAATAGTTGGGACCTTGCTGCCTTGTGGGGTCCATCCCAGTAGGTAACATAGGCTGGCTACCTGGAACTCCTCCAAGGCCCTGGAGAGAGGACAACATCCACAAATCAGTCTCATCATCAGAAATGCACCAGAGACTTCTTGTTTCAATCATCCAGTGGCTTGCACAAGTGTTAACATCTCCACTTTTTTTCTTCTTTACCCTGAAAAGTGAGTCATGCATATTTATACAGCCTGATACATCTAAATAAAATCCAGTTCAGCCATTGTGTTCAGAAGTCATATTAGTTAAATAGTAACTAATTAATCTGTATGTAAATTAATCTCAGTTTAATGTAACTGTTCTGTGAATGTCTCAAAGTTCACTAATGTTTTCTAACATTAGTGACAAAACATGATTACTGGCAGCCAACATCTTAATATCTGGCAGCAGAGATGGTATTCCACAGTTACATGTCCTGGATGACACCACCATTTGTTGGCAACCACTGCTAATCCAGCCAAATTGCTTTTTTTGCTCCTCTTTAAATCGCTGTTAGAAAGCATGGCCAGAAAGCCGGATCATACAGACATTGAGTTTGGGGCTCTGACCTTCACCCATTATGACAACTGGATGCAGCTGTTTGAACCTCCTCCTTCTCTCTGTGCTCTTTGGTCCCACAGTGGCCTGGTCAAAATCTAGACCCAAACCCACAGAGAATCTGTACGCAGCCTTAAGAAGTGACACTTTCCATTCATCCCGGCATAGTTTGAGATGTTTTGTGAAGAAAAATATCAGTTCTAGATGCAACATGCTGATGGAGACGTACCAAAAAAGACTTGCAGATGAAATGAACTGAAAAATTAAATATTTATTTCCTTCACTTTTTTTCCCCACTACTCTGTGTTGGTCTATCTTGTGATGTGTCAAAATGTGAAAAAGTTGAATAGGTATGAAAAACTTTTGCTATAGGCCTGGAACTGTGAGTGTCAGAGCAGCCCTCACCTGATTGGGTAGCCTGAGGGGCGGCCTGGGTCCTCCAGGGTATCGAGGTGACATGAAGGGCTAGAAAACAGGAGGCATATGAAGCATGAGTGTGTCAGATTTTCAACAAAACAACCATCAGGATAACCTAAAACAAACAGCTTGAGTTGTCAAGCAAGAGGATGATTTTGGAATTAATACAGATAGAAGACAATATAGATAATACATACAGACCAACTCAGTGAGTTATTTTTGGCTACTTTCTTATGGAAAAATGGGAAGCCAACAAATTTATTGGAACAAATTTGCCTAAAAAGTCCTAGGCAACAAAGTCTGATGATTTTTGACAATGTTAATGCATTTGTTAACTGTTAAGGTTTTGGCAGTTTTTGTCGGCGCCTTGTCATTTTGCAACTTAGAGTGGGATTTCACAGAAGTTACACAGACAGCAGCAATGCTGTTGCTGTCAAGTTAACTTCAGCTTGGTCAAAAAGGCCTGCCTGCAGTGTGGGGGGGAAGCACTGCTGCAATGTTCCACTAGAGGGCAGTAGTCCTCTTTCTTTGATCAGGATGAATCATTGAAAGTGAGTGCAGATCAAATCTGAAATATGTTTGATAACACTGTACATTGAAGCACGGTATAGATATGATAGCCTTTTTGAAACTAATAAATCTTAAGAAATCCTTTCCTACAATACCAAACTCTTCTTCTGTCCAGACTCATGTTTGATTTTTTAAATGCAGGAGTGGAAAATATATTGCAAAGGCTATTGATCTGGATGTCTGAAGCTGTCATCTGAATTTGACTGATAATGACGGATAATCAATCGGGGAGCGTAGAGTAAGCCAGAGCTGACATGAAGCACTGCTCTGCAAGTACTTACTACCTGGACTTTAGAGAGGTAGTAGACCATTTTTCTTTTCATCATGTGGGTTAGCTTACACATACAGAAACTGAGACTATAAAAGCCCTTTGTGTTTAGTGCCACGAAAGATTAAGAAAACTACAAATCCCACAAACTGCACCATTGGGAGACGTTTTCTTTCACAGCAGTTGTTCTGCACTTTCTGAAATGCCTTGTTTGCTGTTGAGGTATTTCCTCCTTTAAGAGTATCATTCTGAAAAAAATGTACTTAATGCATGTATGCACTGAAACAAATGATGAGTTGTTGCCTCGTCACTCTACAGGATCAGTGGTGAGTTCTGATATGGGTGACATGGGCAACAGCCCAGGGCAGCATCCTGTGGGGGGACCAGCATGAGCAAATGACTCACAAAAAATTATAATTCTTATGTTTTTCTAGGAGTAATTTTTGAAGACAGACAAAAAAAAAAAAAAAAAAAAAAAATTGGCTACCAATTTATTTTAAAGATCTAGAAATCCCAAATGTCATGTTAACTAAAAAACAAAACAAAACAGGACTGTGTGTGTGTAAATGTGTACGTTGCACACCTGAAAAAATCCTGGAGGAACCGGCCCCACTGGCATGCTCTCTCCTGGGGGAAGGTTCCCTAGGACAGGGCTGGGAGCTGCAGCAGCGCTCTAAACGGTTCAAACATACAAAAACTGAGTCTTAAGGCACCTTTCTGGCCACACATCGATTGAAAACTACTGTGTATTGCAAAAGTATGTATGTACACCTGGATTGGGGTGAAAGGTAATCTTTCAGCAGTGCCATATAGACATAAACATATAAACCCCAACCCTACAGTGGAATGGTTTATATTAAATAATATTCAAGTCATAGAATGTTCTGGTCAAAGTTCAGCCCCAACTCCAGCAGAAAATCTGTGCCAAGACTTTAAAATGATGTTAAAATGAAGGTCCTTCTCTCAAAAGACTCGTAAGCCTAATAATATTTATTCATCTCAAGAGCAAAGATTTTCTCAGTTAATTATTTGGATATCCCAACTCTGATATTTCACAAGTATTTTGAAATGAAAGGCACCAAATATCAAATGAAATTTTCAAAATGGGTGTCTTCTATAGCTTTCCTGCTGTCTGTCCCTTAATGGGGTGTTTCCTGTTTCTACCGGTGCCCAGCGATGGAGGCCCAGGTTTATTTTTGTACATTGTAATTTTTTGTGTGTGTTGTTGTGCTTGTCCCAGACGGGTGGCGCTGGATTATTTCAGCAGAGCCTCCCGACTGCTTCCTGTGGTATTGTGCTACTAACTCCGTGCTACCACCATGTCCTGGCCTCTCGCCCGTCCTATTCAGGAGTTCAGGACAGGAAACATCCAGACGTCTAGGCAGAGTTGCAGGCAAAATTCACAACTGTCTAGATGACAACGTATGGCGTCTGTGTACACGTCCTTTGTATGTGCTCTGAGTTCTGTGTTTCTGATCTTCTGTCTCGCTGTGATGGATGGATAAAAAGAACTCTGGTGAAATTCAGCCATAGTCTCTGAAGTTTCCGCCAGCTGACTTTTTAGGTCAGACAGGAACAAGGTTTAATCAGAGCCGAGATAAAAGCAGACTGACGACACTCCTGTATCCTGCGCTGCTCCACCCCGCCACCCTCGCTGCTCCCTCTGCCTCCTTCACATCTCTCTGTCATTAATGTGGGGCAGCAGGGAGCGGGATCCACAGCAGCTTTTGGATTTCATGTTCTGCTGCAAACATAGCCTGGGTTTGTCCCAGCGGACGAGTGTGCAGATGGACACAGATGGCTACTGTGTGCCTCCATTGGTTCAGCGATGACTGGCTGGTTTTGGTTTGTTTTGGAGCTTGTGTGTGTCTGTGTTCGGGTCTAGTGTTTAACATCATGCACATCATGCTTTTTGTAAGTCACCCTCCTCTTGTTCTCACACTCTATTCCCATGCACTGTGGATTACCCAGCATGCCTTGGCTCCCCAGCAGCCTGGAGGTCTGCTGAGTTTGCCTTCACGCTCAGAGGAAGAGGCAGGGAAAGGAGGACAAAAGAGAGATTACGAGTGTATGCGTGCATGTGGAAGAAACTGTGTGCAGGACCAGAAAAACTGAAGGAGAAGAGAGAGAGAGAAAAAAACAACAACCTCTACCTGTACTGCTGACAAAGCAGCATTTTCTGAATACAGCAACTAGCAAAATTTAAATAGCTGCAACAACAAGAGGACAGGGCATGTTGGCTCACCCAGACCATAAATTCAAGCAGAAATAAATTAAAGATTTGGTCTGATTGTGGGAGTCCACTGGTTTCCATGGAAACGAAAATGTACAACTCGTATGATGGACCTTTGAGATCCCATCGGTAAAATCATTGCCCGTCACATAAATTGGAAACTGATTGTGAAGATGTGTGAGAAGGTAAAAATGATCTTGCACTGAAGGTAATCAGTAATTATGTGTAGTGAGTCAAAGACAAGTGAGGACATAAGACTCTGGATGAACTAAGTGTTGTTAAAAGAGGAAGATCAATTTCTCTGTATACTAAAAACTTGCACAGAGAATGCGAAAGGAGGGGCTAATTGGTGTCCAATTGTTGGAAGTACTGATAGTTTAGATAGCAGTAGCAGTGCCACAAGTGATTTTATTCAAAAACATTCATTCGAGACGTTCTTCCCACTTACTAAACGCGCTGAAGTGAAAAGTTTATTAAAATGTATAAATTATAACTGCAAGATTCTCCAACAGCAACAGAATATAAATTTGTTTTATGGTCATTATGTTTCTCTACCAGGTGTGCCAATAAATGTTCGAGCACTGCAGGCTAATTTGCACAATGGAGAATATTAGTAACATACTTATTCTCTGAGAGCAATATAGAAGAAATATGGCCTAGTATTGACCTACTAAGGCTTCTAAAGCCCACTCATTTGTTCCTACAGTGTAAAAATAACTAAAAATAAATAAAAATGACCTCAAACCTCAGATGTGCTAAATGTTAAATGATCACAGCATAAAACCATGTTGTAAGTAACTCTGAAAAGTTCTTGCAGTGAGCAAACGTGTACTGATATGTAAATTCTCCTTACTGCCACATAATCACATAAAGGCAATTCACAAGTTTTTGATAACAATTTAGTAATAGAATGCAGCAAAAACAATTAGCCTGGTAGGAAGTCAGTTCACTGAGTGAAACTTATAGATTGATTACATAAAGTGTGATGTTTTGATGTCTTTTTTGCTGTTAATTATGATGATCTTCCACATTCAGTGACTGTAAACACAGCATTTAAGATCAGAAAATTTCATCAGAGCAATAAAACACATTTAATCCAGAAATGTGTTAATAAAAATACATTTTAACACCTGCTTAAATAATGTCAATTTCAAAAGGTGTTTTAAATCTTACAAACAAGTCTCATCAGAACATATATTCTAAATTTATTGAACACATCTGTATCTACATCTCCCAAAAGGCTGAATGCTGCAGAGACTGATCTATGCTCACATTAAAAACCATGCAGATGTAACATTTGCAAACAAGTCACACAACATTTTTTAAACATTAGTTTTGTGTTTTGCTAACTATCTTTGCACACCTTGCAGTTTTTTTTCACTGTAGAAAGAAAATGTTGAGTGTGACCTGGCTGTGATTGCTGCTGTGTAAACAAGGTGCAGACATTGTTCAGCACCAGGAGGAGGAGAAAGGAAGACATTCACTACTTCAGATGCAACAGAAAAAAAATGTTTTCTCTCCCTTAGCTGTATATGAGCAGGTAAAACATAACAAGAACATACAGAAAATCGTAAGAACAATCTAATCTAGAACTGTGGCTAAAAATAAAACTCAGTATAGACGGATTTCCTTTTTACCCATTTTGAATGTCTGTGATGATCCTATCAGGACTCAGAGATTGATGATTTATTTTAAACTAACCACAGTAAATAGCAACACCAGCTCTGAAGCACGCTGAGTTTCATGCAGCTGGGATGCCAATGTGGACACTTTCACCCATGAAACTTAGAGGTTACATTTTAAATACCTTGAGTTTCTGGCATGATGGCTGTTTAAAGGATTTTCCTGAAAAGCAATAATAGGCAACTGTTAGAGAAGTCATAAAAGTTTTTACTGTCATTGTTAGTTTAGTGTATTTTAAGGTTTTGTGTCTTTGAAATATGTAGCAAATTGTTTTGCATTCTGTTAACATAAGAGAAGGTAAGAAATGATTCCTTGACTACTGTAAAGTGGAAGTATTTTTTTAATTATTGGGGTGGAAATCTGAGAAAAGAAAATGTAGAATGTTCTCTGCCAATATTGCAGCTCTACTGAGAACACAGGAATTTAATTAAACATAGCGGCATTTGAACACATCTAGTTTTTAATTTTAAAACAATGTCAGGATTTGATTTGTTAAGCTCTTGTTTGCCAGCTCTGTGTAAATACCAATTCCCAGCCAAGCTCAGCTTATTATTGCACTTAACCTCCGTCAACACAAATGGCCCACAGATTGTTAAACACTGTTAATGAGTCCATCATTGCACCTCTCTTGCATGAAAGTTTGCCATGTGTGGAAAAAGTGCAAAGTGAGGAGAACAGCGCCAGAAAAAAATAAAAATAAAATAAATAAATAATCGTCACTATAAGACTGTGGAACTGGGTAAAGAGTCTTTAGGTAAATCTCTGGGTGAACGTAAACTGCAGATTTTTTTTATCACTCTTGAGCTGATCAAGTTCACTGCACTTTCAATTTGTGCACACATTATAACAGCCATTACCAACCCTGATTGTTCACAAATTAAATTCTAAGCTGTTAAATGAAAACTAACTTATATTTGTTTTTTACACTTCATTAGATTTAATGAAGCAAGTTGTTTCAACCCTCCTCCAAGTTATCTGACCAAATATGTCCTTCTTTTTTTGTTTTTCACAGTTTTAACGCTCTACTCTTTGTGCATTTGAAGCTTCACTCACTCCTTGCAGATTTTCTCTCTCTAAGCCGTCATCCCCCAGAGAGAACCACAACGACTTGACTGAAGTGCAACACTTCTGACAACGAGCTGATCTGCAATTTTGTGCAACGTTGTACACAATAATCCATGCAATCAGTTTTCCTCATCAAAAGCTGTTTGCAATAGAATCTGAAGCATTGCAGAGGCACCAGTCTGTTCTCAGATAAACACCTGCATCTTCTGGTAAAAAAACATGTTTGTTTCATAAATTATTCAAAATACCATCCCCGAGGCAAGTATCACAGATACGCAACAAGACAGATCCTAGTGAATACAACAGCCACACGAAGGGATCTGCAGTGATAGTTCAGAAAACAGTCAAATGAGATTAGTGTAATAACGATGTAAAAATCAGGTGATCAAGGATTTTTAAACCAGGGAAGACAGTATTCTATTTTCCCAAACAGATAACTTAAGACCCAATTAAATATTTTTGGTAAGTACAGTCTTTATAAAAAAAAAGTCTAGGAATGTTTGAACACTGTGCTGTTATTTGTTTTACAAAAGAATGCAAAGCCTTCATGGTATTTTCTTCATTTAATAACATTGCTATCTCAATCTTTTTCTAAGGTTTGTAGCACTAGTGGTATTTATTGCTTAGTAGACGGACAGGAATGGGGCAGAGAGAGAAGAAGAAGACATTCAGTAAATGGCACAGGGTTGGGA